AAACAGATAAAATCCAATGCTGCATTGTTCCCATGCAGAATGGAAATCAGCTCTGCCTTGGCCCTGACTTGGGAGGATTTAGGAACTTTGCTGGAACCCCCTGGCCCAGGAGAACTGCAGGGTGGTTTGTCCCCATCACACCCCTGCAGTGACACACAGGGCAGTCACACAAAGACTCCTAGTTTCACTTGGTATAAAAATGACTGAGTTTTCAGCCTGGGAAGTCCCCTGGGAGCTGCTGGTGGGGCTGGGGAGGGCTCAGCCACCAGGGTCCCTCTGCTCCCCTGGCACAGATGAGCCTGAGATGCTTCACAACTTCCAATTCTCTTTTATGGAGCTCAGTACTTGTTGCCATCTGCTCCTGGGTGTTCAGTGCAAATCAGTTCGTTTTTATGGCTTTAATTAACCTAATAATAAGCCTTGTGTGCTGGGGATGGGGGGGGCAGGTAGGGCTGAGCACGTGTCCTCCCAGCAGAAACCTTTGGGTTTGGGGTAAAGCCCATCTCCAAGCCCCAAATTAGGAGTGGTGCAGTAATTAATTCCTGATTATTAATTAGCACTGTCGACTCCTTCAGCAGCAACTTGGTGGCAACTGCCACCTCCTTTTTGCAGCTCCCACCCCTCTCGGTGAGCAGGTACCACAACCACACGGAAGCTTTTCCTGCTCCCTCTTGTGAGTCCAGCACATCTGGGCTCCCAGATTCCCTCACATCTCCTGGATTTGGTTCAAGAATGTGTTAATCATTCCTGTCGAGGGATAGTAGCAGCTCTGCTCACCCCATGGGTGGACCCCCAGCCCTGGGGTGCAGCCTGTAGCAGTTGGGTCCCCCCTTTTGGCTCCAAGGAGACTTTAAATTTCATGAGGTTTTCACTCCCTCACTGGGCTGTAAAGATGTTTTATCTCAGAAAGGCCACTTTTTTTTACATTTTTCTTTAAGCACAGGGGGAAAAAAACCCAAACAAGCAAATGGAAACATGCCCTTTGGGTAGATAAACAGACTTTTCTCTCCTGTTGTCTCTGCTGAAGGTGGCAGGGGATGGGAGGAGGGGAGTGTTGTCCTGTCTGAAGGGGGCGGGGGGTGGGAGGGGGGGGGGGGGGGTGGCAGCTCTGCAAGTGTGTGTGGATGGATGGGCAGATAAACAGATAGTTGGTTTCCGATGATGACTGGGTCGCTAAGTGGATAAATAGATAAATCTCCTTCCCTGACTCACTGGAGGAGTGAGATGGGGAGATAATCCACTGTCAGATCCTCCTTGCTTCCCAAAGCATCAAGCAGCCTTGGCTGGGCTGTGAACCGCTTTGATTCCAGCACCCTTATCTCCCTGTTAATTACTTTCCCCCGACTTTCCCCTTCCTCTCAGCTCTTTATCCCGCCTTGTATCATCCCTAACATCACCTCTGATGTCTTCCCTGCTTGGTCCCGCCGGGATGGCTCTGGGATTGGGGATGTGTTTGAGAGAAGGAGAGAGCAAGTTGTTCCCTTTTATCTCCTTCCCAGGCCCTGTTATCGCTCCCTGCGCCGCCTCCTGAGGTGTTGATATAATTGCCTCTGAAAGCCCTGCCTGCCTGTCATCTCTTATTCCTGGGGCTGGGTATCAAGCAAATGCAAACCTGCCACCATTTGAAAACCTTCAGTGTCTTTTTTTTCTTTTTTTTTGAGACGTTTTCCACCCTGTTAGGAACATATTTCATGAGGTTGTGACGTGCGGGAAGAGGCGCCTGGAAGTGGGGATGAAACCCTGCACAGGAGCAAGGGGGGGTTGCTCAAGCTGGTGGGTAAATGGGCTGATTTCCACTGAAAATGTGGTTGTAAATAAGCATCAACCAGAAAAAAACCCCCACCTCACACACACAAGAAGAAGCAGAGGGCAGGCAGTGTATCAGAACTGCTGCAGCAGAGACCGACCGGGTACAAATAGAGCCCCTAAGTGAGGGAAATGGAATCAAACTGGAGTTCTGAGGAACTTCCCCAATGAACTGGCCTCTTTCCTGCAGCTTTCTGCACCAAATGCAGCTTGGAGAGCTGCAGGTCCCACAGGAGTTTGTTCACCACAAGCCATCCCCTGATTGGGGGGGGGTTCCCGGGGGTCTGAGCACCCATCACAGGCTGGGCAGGGGTGCTGAGCACCCAAGGAGCTGGGTGGGAGCTGCAGGATGGCTCAGGGCAACACCAGGGCAGGCAGGGAAACCCTGTGGCATCTCCTGGATGGTTGACACAGCAAATAAGGCAAATTTCATGAAGAAAACTGTTGGCTTCAAACAGTTTGCTGTGCTGGGGGCTCTGGCCTCTCACCAGGGAGAAGTTTGTGCAGCCAACTGGTAATTCCAACCCTATTTTTTAGGGCAAACCCATCAGATTAATTAGCAGCATTTGTGTCCTTCCCCTTGCTGGGAGGAAGGACTTCCAGCCATTCCTCCCTCTTTCCCAGTCACTGGGATACAGATGCTTTATCCTAAACCCCCTTTTTTTTTTTTTCCCTTCCTTCTCTCCCTGCTGTCTCTTGGTGATTGCAAATATATTTAAAGATCACAGCAGAGACATTAAAGCCCTATTAGACTCCCTGCTTGAGACTCCCACAGGTCCAGGACAGGATCCTGCCAGGGCTGATGCAGCTCACACTAAACTGCTGCTACATTTAATCTGACAACAAATCATCAGGCACAATGAGGGAAGGAGAAAACTGTTCCCACAGTGATTCCATTTGCCTGGAGGAGTCAGCCCAGGGTGAATGTTGGGGAAAACACTAAAGGAAAACAAACACTTGTTTCCAAATACCCTGAAGAGCTTCATTGGGTGGCTGGTTGGTGTAAAGCTCAGTGCTGGGTGCACTTGCTGCTGCAATTTCAGAGGGCAGCAGCTCTGGCTTAAAGACAATTAGGCAGGGAAATCAACACAACACCTGGTGCTTGCTCCTTGCAGGCAGGCTGGAAATGCCAAGCCAAAAAAAAAGGTGGTGTTGGGGTTTGAAAATGATTGTTTCTTGCAGGGATCTAGCACAGTTTTGCCTTTGCAAGGTGTTATAAAATAATAATGGAATAAGGCAAAGCAACAGGAGTCATGTGTGGGCTGTGGGTCCTCCTGCCTCCTCCTGGGAGCAGATCCTGCAGGACTTGCCTGTAAATCATTCCTGGAGTGTTTAGGGCTGGGATCAGGGTGTCTGGGCTGAGGAAACAGTGGTTTAGGGACAGGGGTGGCACAAACCTGCTCCCAGAGTGATGGCAGCTCCAGGGCAGCCGAAAATGAGCTTCGTTTTACTTGTTTTCACGCTTTTCTCAGGGGTGTCCAGGGCCAGGACAAGGGGCCATGGGCACAAACTGGAGCCCAGGAGGTTTGACCTGAAGAGGAGAAAATCCTTCTGGCCTGTGAGGGTGGCAGAGCCCTGGGACAGGCTGCCCAGGGAGGCTGTGGAGTCTCCATCCCTGGAGACCTTCCAGCCCCTCCTGGATGTGTTCCTGTGGGATCTGCTCTAGGGGATCCTGCCCTGGCTGATCTCCAGAGCTCCCTTCCAGCCCTGCTCACTCTGTGATTCTGTGTAACCAGCAGTTCTCTTACTCAAGCTGTGGCATTTTTGGCCCCAGTGCTCCCATTTCTGTACCTGTAATGGCAATGAAGGCTCCCAATCCAAACCAGTAACAGCTCTGATTTCACCAAACCAAATGACAAGGGCTTCATCCATCCCAGGATTGCTCTAAAGTGTTGAAGTCACCAGGAGGGTGTGATGTCAATGAAATTATTCGAATTTCTAGTCCCACCTGCTTGGGCAGAACTGCCCCAAACTGGATCCAACCCACTCCAACCAACCCACCATCATTCCCTGTCCCAGGCCAGCAGGGCTGTGCAGTGGGGCTGTTGTTGCACTTAATCCTACATGACATTCCATTCATTTCCAAACAACTGCTTTGTACCCAGTTCCTGGGAGCTGCTGGGCAGGAAAGGGCCACAGCTCCCTGCTCCAAGCAGTGACAAAGCTGGAGCAGGTTGCAAGGGCTGCCTGGGTGGGAGGACTCAAGCCTGTGACCTTAGTTCTCCTGCAGGGAAACTTGCTCCAGAGTCTGGAGCAGTGACTCTGCCTCCTCCCAGGCTGCCAATCCTGTGCTGCATCACTGAGCTATATAATTGCATATTTGTTCCTGTTGGGTTTTGAAATATGAGGACCTAGTGGATCATTCCGTGGTGCCTGAGTGGGAAATTCTGCTGTGTAACTACAGGAGAGTGAGGGGACCTGAGCCCTGGAACTGCTCTGTGGGATTAAACCCCCCCTGGTGCCACAGTGATGGGGGGAGGAGAAATTTCTGGGCTCCCTTTGTGCTTCCTCCCCATCCCAGAGCAGGATGCCTTGGTGCTTCTCTGTCCAGAATGAGCCCTTGGTTTTGCTGTTCTTTTCCCCCTCCACCCTTGTTTTTTCCTGGAATAAATGCCTTGGGTTGGGGGCAGAAAGGGACAAGTTGGTTTCCACCTTTTAGCAACTTCTCCCAAACTGGGGGGGCTGCAGCTGCTCATCTCCCTGGCTTCTTTCCTGCCAGGATGCCTGGAAACCATGTCAAACCTGGAATATTTGGGGTTCTTTTCCCCCTCTCCCTTTATCCCTGGAAGGCAGACACTTACCCACCCCAGCAGGTTTCAGTGACAGCCCCTTTGCTGCCTCTGCAGCAATAAAGAGGAAGAAAGAGCCCCGAAAATATATGAGATATTGGCAGAATAGTTCCTAACTAGAAGGTTTTTCAAAGTTGTCCAAGTGTCAGCAGCTCTTCTCAGAGCCTGAATTTATTTGGCACAGTGTCACAGTTATCTCTGTTAAACAAGTCCTCATATGCACCTTTCTGAGCTGGAGAACACCTGAGGGAAAATGTATTAGGATCTTTGCTTTCAATCTTGCTGTGATTTCTGCCTTAGCAAGGGAAGGGGAAGGGAGGGGGAGGAAGGAAGAGACACACACACAAGAAAAAGGGGATGTAATGTTGCTGCTGGGGATTTGGGATTGATTTCTTTATTTTCTGTTTAATCCAAAGTGACTGTTGTGGCAGGGGAAGGTGTTCTGGCTGAGCCCTGTGGAGGTTTGTCCCCAGGAGGCACAGATGGGCCAGGAGGTGGGGGATGCTCTGGGGCTGAGCTGCAGCCCTGTGGGTCCTGGGATCCCAGTGGGCCCTGGGATCCCTGTAATCCCTGGGCTCCTTGGGCTCCCTGTAATTCCTGCAGTCCCTGGGATTGCTGGGATCCCTGTGATCCTGGTGGTCTCTGGGTTCCTTGTTGTCCCTATGACCCTGTAATCCCTGGGCTCCTTGGGCTCCCTGTAATTCCTGCAGTCCCTGGGATTGCTGGGATCCCTGTGATCCCCATAATCCCTGGGATCCCTCTGGTCCCTGGGATCCTTCCAATCCCTGTTGATAACTGTGGTCCTTGCAATCCCCATAATCCTTGTTGTTCCTGAGATCCATGAGATCCCTGTAATCCTTGTGGTCCCTGGGATCCCTGTGAGCCCCATAATCCCTGGGATCCCTCTGGTCCCTGAGATCCTTCCAATCCCTGTGATAACTGTGGTCCCTGGAATAACTGTGGCCCCTGGGATCCCTGTGATCCCCATGATCCCAGTGGTGTCTGGGATCCCCCTGTTCCCTGGGATCCCTGCAGCCCCCCCCATGAGCCCAGCTGCTCCTTTTCCCTGCCCTATTCCCATCTCTGCACGTTCACCCATCAGAGGGAATGACAGGGATAAAAAAACCCTCCAGGTCCTCCTGAAACTCACCCAGAGAGCAGGCAGCAAAGAAACCCAAGCCCCCAAATCCCCAGGGATTCTGCTGTTGACTGGGAAAAGCCTTTCCAGAAGGCAGGAGGGACAGAAACACCCCCCCCCCAGCAGCTGGGGCTGCATCTCTACATTTCTTTCCTCTCCTTTGACCACAAACCTGCTCCTTGATCCTCAAAGCCACAAGGTTTACAAACCCCTGGCTGGTGCAGGGAACATCCCAGCTCAGCATCCTGCCTCTCCCAGCTGAATCCATGGTGGGTTTTTGCTTTCCTGCCCCTCTCAGGGTCATCAAACCTCCAGCGTGCAGGTTGTTAAACAAAATCCAATTAAGTGGCTGGGTTGGAAGTGTAATTGTTACAGGGAGCAGCGGGTCGGGTGCTGAGATGTTATTAAAAATACAGAAAACAATTTGTACTTCCCTCCCCTTTCCTCTCCTGCCTCAAATCCTGGGGACCACAGCCCTGTGGCTCCCCCAGCTCCTCCGAGGTTACTCCCTGGGAGGAACATGAGCTGGAGTGAAGCAGGTGGTGCCACAGGATCCTTTGCCCTGCCTTCCTGGGGGAAATGGGACATTCGTGCTGGGGGCTAAGGGGGTGAAACTGCATTTTCAGGGGGTGCCTGCTCCCCCCCCTGCTCCCCCATCCCCATCCCACTCCCTCATCCCCATCCCACTCCCTCATCCCCATCCCACTCCCTCATCCCCATCCCACTCCCTCATCCCCATCCCACTCCCTCATCCCCATCCCACTCCCTCATCCCCATCCCACTCCCTCATCCCCATCCCACTCCCTCATCCCCATCCCACTCCCTCATCCCCATCCCACTCCCTCATCCCCATCCCACTCCCTCATCCCCATCCCACTCCCTCATCCCCATCCCACTCCCTCATCCCCATCCCACTCCCTCATCCCCATCCCACTCCCTCATCCCCATCCCACTCCCTCATCCCCATCCCACTCCCTCATCCCCATCCCACTCCCTCATCCCCATCCCACTCCCTCATCCCCATCCCACTCCCTCATCCCCATCCCACTCCCTCATCCCCATCCCACTCCCTCATCCCCATCCCACTCCCTCATCCCCATCCCACTCCCCCATCCCGTTCCCCCATCCCCATCCCGCTCCCCCATCCCCATCCTGCTCCCCCATCCCCACCCTCTGGGTGACCCCCAGCTTTGCAAACCACAACCCCCTCTCCCCACCCAGACCCCACTTGCCATTCCGCAGGCAGGTTACACTCCTGCCTGCATATATTTGAACAAGTTTGATTCAGTGTAGCTGACACAAAAACCACTTAGTTGTTTCCCCTACATCATCCTAAGTTAATGCTGCTGACAAGTGCAGGAGGCTTCTCAGCAGTGTTTCTGTTCCAGCTCCCCTGGCTCTCCCAGTTTCACCCCCACTGGAAAACTCCCCTGGCTCCCAGATTGTGCCCCAGCAATTTGTACCCAACGTGCTTGAAAGCAAAGAATGAAAGGGTGCCCACGGATGCAGGATGCAATGAGCTGAGCCACTGAGCTGGGAGGTGTTTTCTGCACACTCTGGGTTTTCAAAGGACATGAAAAATAAGGAGCTGGAGAGGCCAGGGTCGTTCCCACAGCCAGGGTAGGGCTCGCTTGGCTTCTTGCACCACTTCTGGGCTGCTGCAAACCTGGCTCTGCTCCCTCCCTGGCTTTGGGGAGGTTTTGTTAGGCCTCAGGAGGGTTTAGTTTAGCTCTGCTGTGATGGAGAGGCTGGTCCTGTAGTGCTGAGCTCTGTAGCATCTTGACATCTGTCCCTCCGGGCTCTGTGGATGCTGCTGGACCGGGAGGTTCTGTCCCTTGAGGTCCCCCCAGCAGCATCCCTGAGCCCATCCCCTGGGCATCCAACCACTTGCCACGCTGGCCCCTTGCACAGCACGGAGAGGAGTGCCTCTGGTTCATGGGGTTTGGGTTTTCCCACTGCTGGGATCTTCCCAGCCAGCCCAGCAGGGGAGGGAACATCCAGCCCGGGTCGCTGCCAGTGACGGATGCGTCGCTTGCTGGGGACAATCAATTGGGAAAGCAATCCTGTCTGGAATTTATTCAGGGTTGAAATGGGTTCCCCAGGCTCTAAGTCTATCTATTCTCTCCGTGTAGGTTATTTTTGCCATTATTTACGTGCTAGAAGCAGCTGAGGTGACTAACTCAGAGCCTCACTCTGCTGTGTCAGGTACAGAATGAGAACCAGCACCTCCTTCCTATGGAAGGGGCATCAATAAGCAGGAGAGGCTGCCTGGGGGGGGCAGCCCTGCTCTCATGTCCCTTCTTTGCATGATGAAGATAAGTGACCTGGAAAGGTCACACCAGGAGGGACAGGAATCTGTGCTCAACCTCCCCAGAGCCCACGCAAAGCTGACCCTGCTGTTGAGCTGCTGCTCCAGCATCTTCCTCCCGTAATTGGCCCTGGAAAAGGCTGGAGAGGTTCAACCTGTGGCTGAACTGTCTCCAAAGAAATAAACCTTGGGGCAAAACAGCTCGTCATGTTGACTCTGCTAAAGAAACTGGTGGGGTTTTATGGTTGCTGTAGCTTTTTTGCCCCTGCATTCTTCTATTGTGAGGGTGTTTCTGTTCCGTGTGCCTTTTGTGCCTCTGAAAAGTGCTGGGGCCTCAATATTCTCCTTTGCTTTCATCTCTCTAAATATTCATCCTATAGGTTCATTCGACTGGCAGATAAATGTTTACACCTTCTCTGTTCCCCAACGTTGTCTTTCAAATGAATCTCTCAAATGGGGAAAAGGGGAAGAAGCTGAAGTTGGATCAGAAGCTGATGATGCTGTGGTGAAACCAAGGGTTGTGTTCAAATCCCTTCTTGTAGTTCAATTTCAGCCTCAAAATAGTCCCAACCCTGACATTCACATTTCTTAATGGCCTCTTTTCCATCTCTCCTGTGGGGAGGAGAAGGGATCATGGCTTTAAATTGGGCCAAGAAAATCTGGGGCTGGGTATGATGACAAATGTTCCAATTGCAGGGAGGGCAGGAGGAGCAGATGATGCTCCAGGCAGGGAGGGAGGGAGGAAAGACAAACTGGGCTACATCATCTTTTCTGAGGCCTCTGTGAGCCTTATTTTTTATTTTTCTCTGATGCTTTGTTTAAACCTAATGTGTCTCCCTCTGCCACACAGGTCCCAGTGTTTCCTGGGCAGCTGGTGAAGCTGCCTCTGCCTCTTGAATGTAGCAGAGAGGGGAAAATAATGATTTAACTTGTTGTCACCTCTTCTGGGCTCTGATCTGGCAGAGACAGACTTGAGTGTTTCCCTGGCTGCCCTGAGGATCACCAGCCTGGTGCTCAAGACTTTGCAGGACCAGGAACCTCCTTTGTATTAAAAAATAGCCAAGAAATTGGCTGAGTTGAGCAGGTTTTACTGGAAGGCAGGATGGAGGGATTTCCTGGTGCCCTGGTTAGAGCTGCCCAGTTCCTCCCAGACCCAGGGGACACCATTTCACATGGGTGTCCCCACCAACCACCACGTGGCAGGAAGGTGTTTTTTTTGCCTGCTTAGTTCAAATAACAGAGCTGATTCAAATCAGGGAATGAGCTTTCCTGAGTTCCTGGCTTCTGATGAGGACAGTGCAGTTGGGTGGTTCAGGCTGTTTCAAGTTCTACCCAAAGGCTCCAGAGAGTTAAACTCTGATCCTGCCACTTCTTGCACCCCTGTGGAAAGGGATGGGGCATTGGATGGGGCTACTCACAGCCCTGAGCATGGGTTGAAGTCTTTGCCAGGCTGGAACTGTGCAAATCCTGGGGATTTGGCACCCAAAGCTGGAAGAAGGGCCCTGGGGGCCCACCCAGCAGTCTTGTTTGCCCACAGGCTCTGGCAGCCCAGAGGTGGGGTGCTGGGCTTGGGTCCTGCCTGAATTCCTTTCTTGATGGAATTCCCAGCATTTTTCATATTCCTGCT